AACACCGTTCGATTGTGGAGAATAGGGGGCAGTTAATTGATGAATTATGTCATATTCAGAACATATTTGTTTAAAAGGAGCTATATACTCCCCACCTCTATCACTTCGAATTATTTTAATCCTTTTGCCGAGTTGATTTTCAAATTCGGTCTTATAGTTTTTAAACCCTTCCACAGCCTCGTCTTTGCTTCTTAACAAACATAAGTAACAAAACCTTGTGCAATCATCGATAAAAGTTATAAAAATACTTTCTACCCATTTTTGTTTGCACAGTTTTCAGATCACGTACATCAGTATGAATTAAGCATATTGGTTCAATACTCCTTTCTGCCGAGTGAAAAGGCAACTTAGGCATTTTGGCTTCAATACAAATTTCACATTTCTTATGTGATTCAATTTTAGAAATTAATTCTAAATTTATCGACCATTTAAATGCATTTAGATTTACATATCCCAATCTAATATGCCATAGATAAGAGCAATCAACCGTATAAACATAAATAGGCTTTTCATTATCATTAAAAACGTTTACACGACTCACATCTATTACATTCATTTTGAACAAACCCTTGTCGAGATAGCAACACCAAGGAATGTTCTAAACTTGCTAAGGCCAAATTCTTGCAGAAGTCTGTGACATGCAGAACATCTTTAAGATAAAACTCATTTTCAAAAGGTTAAATTAACCACCACATCAGACGTGGAGGAGTTTCTCATGTGAAGTTTCTAATCATTAGAAGGAGTGCAATCAGAAAATGATTCGCCGAGGCACACATGGTGAGTGGCACCAGTATCGATGTACCACTCTCTTGGGTTATCCACCATATTGACTTCAAACACCACAACCTACATATCAAAGTCGGTCACTTCACCCGGCACAGGGCCGTGTTCAGCAACGAGGGCACTCGGTTGCGTCTTCTTTGGCTACTCCCCATGATCAACATATCGTCTACATATAGACATACAATTACAAATGTATTTGATGTACTCATAACATAAACACATTTGTCACGTTCGTTGATTTTGAACTCATTTGACAACATTACGTCATCAAATTTTTAAATGCCATTATTTTGGAGCTTGTTTCAGTCCGTTATCCGTACAAGGATTTGATCAGTCTGCACACCTTTTTCTCTTGTCCAGGTGCTACAAAACTTTTGGGTTGTTCCATGTAAATTTCTTCTTCTAATTCACCATTCAAAAATGCCGTCTTGACTTTCATTTGGTGAATCTCAAGATTGTGCACCGCAACAATCGAGAGAATCACTCTATCGACGTTAAATGCATAACTGGTGAATAGGTATCAAAAAAGTCATATCATTCCTTTTGTTTAAAGCCTTTTTTAACCACCAATCAAGCTTTAAATTTATCAATTGTTCCATCAACTTTATATTTCTTTTTTAGGATCCACTTACATCCTAAAGGTTTACAACCCGCAGGGAGATCAACCAACTCCCAAGTATGATTTTGCATAATGTACTCAATTTCGCTATTTATAGCTTCTTTGTTGAGTGGTCCATCTGGCTGGACAGAGCTTTTTTAATGGAACTCAGTTCATCGTCCAATATGTACGTAATAAAATCAGGTCCAAATGTTTTTGTCATTTTTACCCTTTTACTACGTCTCGGTTTTTCATCTTTTTCTTTTATCTGGTATAGAACCACTAGTTGTTTCATATGTCCATTTGTTAGAACTAGATTCTGCCCTTTCTTTCAGAGAATTTTTTTTCAAAGAATATAGCATTCCTCGACTCAATAGTGATACCTCTGGATTTTCTGATTTATGAACCAAAAATCTATATGTTGTATTATTATACGCATATCCAATAAGTAAACAATCGACTGTCTTTGGTCTGATTCTCATTTGTTTGGGTTTAGGAACTGAAACCTTAGCGACACCCTCACACTTTCAGGTATTTATAAGACGGCTTACGATTTTTTCACATTTCGTATGGAGTCTTATTTTTCCTTTTAGGTGGTAATTATCCAGGATATGATTTGCTGTTAAAACAACTTCCCCTCACATGTTTTGGAGTAGTCCCTAATTTATCAACATGGCATCCAACATTTCTTTTAAAGTTCGGTTCTTGTGGTCTGCAACACCGTTCGATTGTGGAGAATAGGGGGCAGTTAATTGATGAATTATGTCATATTCAGAACATATTTGTTTAAAAGGAGCTATATACTCCCCACCTCTATCACTTCGAATTATTTTAATCCTCCGAGTTGATTTTTAAATTCGGTCTTATAGTTTTTAAACGCTTCCACAGCCTCGTCTTTGCTTCTTAACAAACATAAGTAACAAAACCTTGTGCAATCATCGATAAAATTTATAAAAATACTTTCTACCCATTTTTGTTTGCACAGTTTTCAGATCACGTACATCAGTATGAATTAAGCCTATTGGTTCAATACTCCTTTCTGCCGAGTGAAAAGGCAACTTAGGCATTTTGGCTTCAACACAAATTTCACATTTCTTATGTGATTCAATTTTAGAATTAGAAATTAATTCTAAATTTATCGACCGTTTAATTGCATTTAGATTTACATATCCCAATCTAATATGCCATAGATAAGAGCAATCAGCCGTATAAACATAAATAGGCTTTTCATTATCATTAAAAACGTTTACACGACTCACAACTATTACATTCATTTTGAACAAACCCTTGTCGAGATAGCAACACCAAGGAATGTTCTAAACTTGCTAAGAACAAACTTCTTAGCATCAAACACCAGTCTAAATCCATGCTCAACAAGAAGAGATCTGGAGGCCAAATTCTTGCAGAAGTCTGTGACATGCAGAACATCTTTAAGATTCAACTCATTTTCAAAAAGTTAAATTAACCACCACATCAGACGTGGAGAAGTTTCTCATGTGAAGTTTCTGATCATTAGAAGGAGTGCAATCAGAAAACGATTCGCCGAGACACACATGGTGAGTGGCACCAGTATCGATGTACCACTCTCTTGGGTTATCCACCATATTGGCTTCAAACACCACAACCTACATATCAAAGTCGGTCACTTCACCCGGCACAGGGCCGTGTTCAGCAACGAGGGCACTCGGTTGCGTCTTCTTTTTCCTAACCTTCTTAAGCTTCTTGCAATCCTTAACCATATGGTTCGACTTTCCACAGGTATAGCAGGTTTCGGTAAACTTCCAAACCTTGGCAGGCTGCTTCCTCTTGTTGAGGGACTTCCTCTTGCTCGAGTTACCTTACTCCAGCAAATTAGCACGAGCCTCCATCATATAGGCTTTTTCGATGAATTACGGTTGTCTTCCTCAATACGAAGACGAACAACCAGGTCTTTTAGTTTAATTCCTCTTATGTTTGAGGTAGTTCTTGAAGTCCTTCCAACCTGACAGCAGTTTCTCGATGACGGCCACAACTTGGAATGATTCGCTTAGAGACATTTCTTCAGCATGGATATCGTGCAAGATGAGTTGGAACTCTTGCACTTGAGACATAATAGTTTTAGTGCCGGCCATCTTGAAGTAAAAAAATTTACTGACGACAAATTTCTTCGCCCCGACATCCTCAGTCTTGTACTTCTTCTCCAAAGCAGCCCAAAACTCTTTGGCAGAACCAATCGAGTTGTACACATTGTACAACTCGTTACTAAGCCCGTTCAAGACATAGTTACGACAAAGGTAGTCAACTTGCCCCCAAGCTTCGTAAGCAGCGCGTAGGTCAGCATTGGTCTCATTTCAGCAATGACCGGTGGGTCGTCCTTCAGGTACTTTATCAAACCCAAGTGGTTTGATAAAAATGCATCTTTTGTTGCAATCTACTGAAGTCAAGCCCGTTAATTTTTTCGAGCTTCTCTGTAGTAGAGACATGAACAACAAGTATAGGATGATTATGAATAGCGATGTTGATTCGATGTTGAGTGTAGGAACCATCTCCGGTGGATGCCATCAATTCAACAGGTGTAACAATATTCGTCTTGCGATTGTTACAAATTGTGTGTCCAAAATTCACGGGAATCCTTTGAACTGATATGTATTTTCAGTTCTTATAAATAATCTAAAAATAGAAAATTACAATAAAACTGAAAATAAATTACAACTTGAAAAACGGAAAGATTTTAGCCGAGGCGAGTAAAATCTTTCTGCAAGACGAATACGCCCCGTGTAGTGCTGACGGTTCATGCGTATGGTCCCCAGAGATACAATGGCGATCGTCTCCAAATCTGTAGCACACCAGATTTACGAGCTGAGCGAACTAAAACGAAATCGAGAATTGAGCACTTAAAGAATAAAATTATCTTTCTTTTGCTATTTTGATAACAGATAATTTTTATATCTGCTTTTCTCTCAAATTTTCCCACGACAATTCTTTCTCTATCCCTCGTACTTTTATCTTTTTTCTAATTTTTCTTCCCTCGTTCTTTTGTATATTCTCTTCTCTTTTTCTGTATCTACCTCTTAGCACACATATATAGAGAGAGTTTATGAGCAAGTTGGCAGCAATATGGCCAATTGTCAATAGTTGTAACTCAATTATTGCAAGTTGACACTTGGACAAAACAATTTGCAAGACACAGGTGTAAGATTCCAACACGCAAGTGCATTATTGGACAAGCAAGTGGTGTAAATTGATTGTATAATTATTTAACTGGAATCTACTAATTAATTACACTCAAAATTCTAACACATTCTATATTATGGTGGTGTAAAAATTTGGTTGTTTGCTGTTGATCAAGAACTATTTCATATAGCCTGCATGAGGAAAAAAAACATGAGCAGGTTCAAAAGTTTTGCTTTTCTCCTGCAAAGAGGAAAATTGGCGTCAATGTCAAATCTGAGAGTTTCTTCAATATACACAAACCAGAATTCAGTATCATATCCGAATATAAACAAAATTGCCCCATGAAGAAAAACAGAAGCAGCTTAATGGCATGAAGGAAATGAAGTACAGCCTTGTAGACCACATCACACAGAAGCAGGAATAACTTTGCGAAGAATGCCATTGATGGGAGAGTATTAATATTATCCTATTGATCAACAGCAGCAGATACCGAATCCACAACTGGAGGGATGCAGTCCACCTTGTACCGAAGTACCTGTCGCAAACCGAAGCTATAATCAGCCAAAATGAAACAATGTCTCATGAAATTTTCTTGTGATCAATTTCCAGAATGGAGCAAAATGGGAAAGCTGGGATGGACGAGAAAATAGACTTTATATATCAACAAACTGTAAGATATCGAAGAAAAGAAGGGATAGAAATTTGACAAGTAATGCAGTAAAAGAGCTGTATTTCTGTTTATTCTTGCATCACATGTATTTAATCATCAAGATTCATAACAAATAAAATGAAACGAGAAAAAAAAAAAAGGGAACTTTTCTATGATTGTTCAAAGCAACTAAAATACGTATGTAGGAACTTTCAAATGCTGTTTGTAGCTGACAAGTAACAACAAAACATACGCTTAAACAGATTGATGAATTGGATTTTTCTTCAAGCTGTTAATTGCAGGACATGCATGCATTTGCAGTTACATGGACAAACCACATGAACATACCCAAATGTTAGTAGAACTCTCAATAGAAGTCTCATATTTATACTGAAAGCAGTTTGGCAGCACCTAAGACTTGCAATCAGTGCATTCTATAAACATTTTCTATATGATAAGATTTACCTACCTTTTTAAAAAAAGCTGAATATGAATTATCCCAGATAAGCTTATAGTTTCCTGATACGCATGTACAGAAGTTACCCTGACAAATGAATTCAAACACTTGATGACTCCGTAAACCTGTATAAATGTATAATTGAGATTTGGAAAGAAATGGAAAGGAAAGGGGGGCAATACTCAACTTGGTCAGCATCATAACGTCGGTAAGGCAGAATTAGCTAAAGTTGATAGCAACGGAAGTTAGGATAGAGGGAGCAACATAGAAAATTAAAGCAAGGGAAGGAGGGAGTAAAATAAAAACATTTTTAAAAAATGGAAAATAAATTAACTTACAGTTTTTCTCCCGGAAAGATCTGTGCACTCTACACTGAATCCAATGTCCTGCTGGAACATCATTCAATTAGGATATACAATAATGAGATACTCCAAAGGACATAATCAAGATAACCCCTCCATCATGCCTCAATTACAACAATCTACTTGACTATTTAGTACATTGCAAGATTTCATGCATGGTTAATTGGATATAAGAACATATACGAAAATCGTTTACCATGCACAACACCCCGAATTATAATTATTGCATCGCCTATCCATAGCAAAGAAGCACAAAATGTATAGTTGAGTATTGTATGTTACAACGTCAAATAGACAACGCACAACTCCATCAACCTTCTATTTGTCATTGTTTTAAGGTAATATTCGGACATTCAGAGTGCTACAACTACACCTTTGTCATCAAAACATTGGCCAATGGACACTGATCCAAAAAGGCACAAGTCCACTTCGTAAAGTAGAGTTTCCAGTTACCAGATACCCCTTGGGAAACAGAATTAGGAAAACATAAGTTGCATGAAACACAGTTTTTCTTATTTATATTTGTTAATATTCAGCAATGTCTTCAGTAAAATACCAATCTAAAAATAAAAAAAAAATAAAAAATAAAATAAAAAAAAAAACTACTAAGAACCATTCTTTTTTTTTTTCTCTGCAATATATTTTCTTTTCGAGCTTATGTCATTCCACTACAAGTTCAATAAACATGCAATGGAGGGAAGATTCATCCACTATTCCTACACATTAGTAACGATAGTACAAAAAATTAAGAAGTTCTAAGAAGAGTACCATATTCATTTTTCCCTGGACTAATGAGAAATCCCAAGCAATATATGAATTCACCGATTCCACTGTCAAAGACACCTAAAAGGAAAACACCATATGTGATAGCAGCATGCGAAAATATAATTGCCAAAGTAAATAGAGTACATGCCAATATAATATAATTCAGGCGGGGAAATAGACAGCTTAATTCTACTTCGATCAGGGGACACAACTCTCTCATTTTCAGCCAACTAGGAAGATGCACGTGCTACACACGTGATATTAATTTTTTTTACTCAAAATTATTTTTATTATATATTTAATTTAATAGCACAATATTATTTTCTTTTAATTATTTAACAAAAAATTGTGTATTATATGATAAAATATAAAATTTAATACTATTAACAGAACACTATGACAAATAAAATTAAATAAAAAATATTGGTTAGAAAATCTAAAATAAAATTAATATTTTTTTTTTTTTTTTTTGAAATTTGAAATGTTGAAGAAATCTATGTCGTCCTTGATTTTGTTATTTAGTGATATCATCCTTATGCTTAAAATAATGATCATTATTATTGTGAAAACAATATCATATTTAATGTCTTCTTTTTGCGTCTTACTATTTGAATAATAACTCGAATTTACTATAACTATAATTTGTAATTATCATTTGCTTATTGTTGATTGGAAGCTGAAACTGTGGTTGAATGTTTCGTTCTCTATTATTTTGATTATAACGGTTGCAAATTCAATAATATTTGCACGTGAAATATTTCGTAATATTTAGATATATATTTTCTCTCTATATATAATGATATAAGAGATATAAATATTTGAAAATATCTTTAAAGTTGTAAATATTTAAAAACAATTACTTGAAATTAGGAACAATAACATCTTGATTAAAGGTTCTCATCTATCTATATATAATGTTGTAACATTGGTTAATTGAAGGTGCTTATCTATATATATTGTCCAAAATAAATTATTGTTACATCTCTTAACACTGTCATACATGCATTATCATTTTTGTTCATTGATTTTCAAGACTATCTAAAAAGTGAAAAAAATAATAATTCTATTTTAAATAAATTGTAAAATCATGATTCTTTCATATTTTACTTTTATATTAACATTATTTTATATATTTGTCAATATTTTACAAGGTTTATGTTTCCTAGTTTTAAGAAGTGATTTGAAAAATTAAATTTATCTATGATTTATAATAAGATAGTCTATTGAAATAAATTTAAAGTAAATGTAATATTTATTTTTATTTAATTTATTATAATTATTATAACTATATATTTTCTAACAAGTACACATATTTTGAAATTCAAGATTTTAAAATCAAGTATTACTTATTTTATTTTATTTTAAAATTACTATATTTTGATTTCTATTACAATTAAAGTAAATAGTAGATTAATTTATGTAACACATATTACCATAAAAGAACATTTATACTGTACATACTACTAACAGATAAAGTTAAATTGTATCATGCATATATTTTAATGAATAATTTAAACAAAGTATTTCTATTAAAACTATATATTTGCACTTAACTAATAATTTTTTTTTCCATAAAACATTGATATTTTTTTGTTGAATAACTATTTTTAATACTAAGAAAAATGAATGAAAAAAATTGCATACAAACATTTTAATACATTAATATTTAAAAAATTAATTAAAAAAATAACATACAAATATTTGGTAAATAATAAAAAACAATGAGAACCATAAGTTAATTGAATAATATATTTATAAGGCCATCTCCAGCCCTTATCTCTACTCTAGCGCGGACTTTACTCTACTCTAGAGTAGAGTTGAACATTCATCTCCAGCCTTTATCTCTACATTATACTCTACATTAAATATATTATTTTTTATTTATTTTTTTATTTCAAATAAATTGGTATATTTGTGTGTTAAGTCATTTTTAATCATGTTGTTTTTATTTTTATGTTCTATGATTTATGTGTGTTGTAAACTTTAATTTTAATGAAATAAACTTGTTTGAGTGTGTTAAATTTTTATTCATATGGTATCATTTTAATATTAAAAAATTGTAAAATAAAATTATAATACATCAATAAAATAAAGTATAAAATTATTTAGCATAAAAAATACATTACACAAAGTTATCAGTAAAAAAAATACATTTATTAATACACATTATACAAAAAAATATCATTTAAAATACATAAAATAAAAAAAAAAATTGGTGTTGCTACAGTGTTGCGCCACATCTGGCGCAACACTGTAGCAAACTGTGAAGTAGCGTGGAAAAATGAAGCAGCACTGGAGTGGTTTTTTGCGCTACAAAAGAGTAGCGCAGTGATTGTGGCGCAGCAGTGTAGTTGGTCTAATAAAATAATACAATAAGAATAAAAAAGATTAATATATTATGACGTTGGAAAAAAATCAATTAAATAGATAAATGTTTGGTTTCAATAAAAAGGTTAGTTCAATTGGTTATTTATTTATTTTTTTTTAATTTTTTTATTGACTTTGCATTACAAGAAATTTTGATATTTGTACAGAAAAAAAAAAAATCTTACTTTTGTAGTTGTGCCAATACATTCATTTAAAAATTTGGATACCGGTAATTTTTTTTTTCAGTAGATTAACATCATAAAAAATTATTAATTATAATATACACAAGGAATATTATAAGAAAAAATTGAGTACTATGTCATGACATTCATGATTAAAACATCAAAATATGATTTAAAACGTTTTATTTGTAATTATTTGAAACAATTTTATATTAAGTCATGTGTTTTAATATTTCAGTTATTCTAATTAAAATTTAAATTGTTATTTGACAATTTTGATTGTTATATTACAAGTAGTAAATGTAATTGGAATAAGACATAATATAAATTTTCAGAAGTAACATTATTTTTTATTGGGGATAGTAGTGACATTTCAGATTTTATTTCAATGTGGTTGGATGAGATATTAATGAAGTTATATTATTACATTTATGTCCTTAAATGGTAAAACTTTAGAGGGTAATATGGGCATTTCAAAATTTTCAAGAAATAACTCATCCTTTTGTTATATATATTATATTATATTATATATATAGATTATAGATTATAGATTATAGATTATAGATTATAGATAGATTATAGATATAGATTTAGTGATATCATCCTTATGCTTAAAATAATGATCATTATTATTGTGAAAATAATATCTTTTTTAATGTCTTCATTTTGCGTCTTACTATTTGAATAATAACTCGAATTTACTATAACTATAATTTGTAATTATCATTTGCTTATTGTTGATTGGAAGCTGACACTGTGGTTGAATGTTTCGTTCTCTATTATTTTGATCATAACGGTTGCAAATTCAACTATATTTGCACGTGTAATATTTCGTAATATTTAGATATATATTTTCTCTCTGTATATAATGATATAAGAAATATAAATATTTGAAAATATCTTTAAAGTTGTAAATATTTAAAAAACAATTACTTGAAATTAGGAACAATAACATCCTTGATTAATTAAAGGTTTCCATCTATCTATATATAATGTTGTAACATTAGTTAATTGAAGGTGCTTATCTATATATATTGTCCAAAATAAATTATTGTTACATTTCCTAACACTGTCATACATGCATTATCATTTTCGTTCATGATTTTCAAGACTATCTAAAAAGTGAAAAGATAATAATTCTATTTTAAATAAATTATAAAATCATGATTCTTTCATATTTTACTTTTATCTTAACATTATTTTATATATTTTTCAATATTTTTACAAGGTTTATGTTTCCTAGTTTTAAGAAGTGATTTGAAAAATTAAATTTATCTATGATTTATAATAAAATAGTGTATTGAAATAAATTTAAAGTAAATGTAATATTTTTTTTTATTTAATTAATTATAATTATTATAACTATATATTTTCTAACAAGTACACATATTTTGAAATTCAAGATTTTAAAATCGAGTATTACTTATTTTATTTTATTTTAAAATTACTATATTTTGATTTCTATTACAATTAAAGTAAATAGTAGATTAATTTATGTAACACATATTACCATAAAAGAACATTTATACTGTACATACTACTAACAGATAAAGTTAAATTGTATCATGCATATATTTTAATGAATAATTTAAACAAAGTATTTCTATTAAAACTATATATTTGCACTTAACTAATAATTTTTTTTTTTCCATAAAATATTGATATTTTTATGTTGAATAACTATTTTTAACACTAAGAAAAATGAATGATAAAAATAGCATACAAACATTTTAATACATTAATATTTAAAAAATTAATTAAAAAAATAACATACAAATATTTGGTAAATAATAAAAAACAATGAGAACCATAAGTTAATTGAATAATATATTTATAATAAAATAATACAATAAGAATAAAAAAGATTAATATATTATGACGTTGGAAAAAAACCAGTTAAATAGATAAATGTTTGGTTTCAATAAAAGGTTAGTTCAATTGATTATTTATTTATTTTTTAATTTTTTTATTGACTTTGCATTACAAGAATTTTTAATATTTGTACAGGAAAAAAACTTACTTTTGTAGTTGTGCCAATACATTCATTTAAAAATTTGGATACTGGTATTTTTTTTTTTTTCAGTAGATTAATATCATAAAAGAGTATTAATTATAATATACACAAGGAATATTATAAGAAAACATTGAGTACTATGTCATGACATTCATGATTAAAACATCAAAATATGATTTAAAATGTTTATTTGAAATTATTTGAAACAATTTTATATTAAGTCATGTGTTTTAATATTTCAGTTATTCTAATTAAAATTTAAATTATTATTTGACAATTTTGATTGTTTATATTACAAGTAGTAAATGTATTTAGATTTAGAATTAGAAGTTGCACCTTAGTTTTATTGGATTGAATTTTGATCCCACAAAAATTGTCGTTTATTTGTTTAATGGTTTGTATTTTCAAATTTTGGTCGCAAAGCTAATAAAGTTAACGAATCTCCACATGACCATTATGTGATGAGTATCAAGTTGCGTAATATTTTAACTATTAACACTAAAAATATTTTAATTTTTTCATTCAATTATTGACAAAAATATATCATGACATTTTAATTATTATCGCTTCATTTGAGCAATTGATTCTCAAGATGAGCGCTCTATAAACAATGATTATTCAAATTTTTATATATTAATTATTTTATTTATTGATTTTATTTTATGATTCTTAAATGTTTTTATTATTTTCTCAATAAGTTTGAAAGTTTATTTAACCGTAAGTATATAAGATAATTTTTTTAACAATATTTATTTAGTAAAGTTTATTAATTATTTTAAGTAAAAAGTTTAAAATTGATATTGCCTATTCTCATAACGACCACAAACTATCGAAATATTTTTTTTTTCAAAATAACCTATGAAAAAGAATAAATTGTTCATTACTATGAGAGATAAATTGTTGAATAATTGTTTTGCAACCTAAACTTCTAATGTACTCATTTTCTTTACTTAAAATAAGATTAAAATAATTGTATAAAATTGTATAACACTAAAAGTCAAGCCTTTTGTTTCATGTTGAAATGGGATACTACTTGAGTGACATGATTTAATTTTGATCATACGATTATCTGCAAATTAATTAAGATATCTACATAATCATGATATACACTGAAACTAATTATTTTTTGCCAATAAATTATATCATATAATCTCCATTAATCATCTGTTATTAACAACTATAATTAAAAAAAAATGAAATTGATAATGTTTTTGTCCTCATAATGCCCATAAGGTATAGAAACATTTTTTCTTTTCATAATAACCTATAAAAAAGAATAAATTGTATAATAGTATGAGAATTGTTGAATTTTTGTTTTGTAGCCTAAACTTCTAATCTACTCAATTTCTTTTCTTAAAATAAGATTAGAATAATTTTATGAAATTGTATAATATTAAAACCTAGACTATTTATTTTCATGTTGAATGGGATATAGCTTGAGCAACATGATTTAATTTAGATCATATGATTATTTAAAAATTAATTAAAAATATTTGGAGAATCATAATATGCCTATATACCTTGAAAATTAATTAACTTTTAGCATAAATTATATCGATATATTACCATTACTCATTTATCTATTTATTTTATTATTCTAACAAAGCAAATTTTTATTGAAAAATGTACGGAATACAAATGTTTTATACTTGAGTATAATATTAATTAGAAAAAATTAATTATATAATATACAAAGATGTACAATTAATTAATATATAACAAGACATGACCTAAAAAGTTTTATACTTCATTTTATGCATTTTTTAACAAATTCAAAAGTTATATATATATATATATATATATATATATATATATATATGTGTGTGTGTGTGTGTGCATATAATTAAAAACATATAAAAGAACAATGTTATATTTAAAAACATATAAAAGAACAATGTTATATATATTTAAAAACATATAAAAGAACAATGTTATATAGGGAAAATAATTCTGAGCAACCTGAACTATACGTGATTTTAAGATTGGCAACCTAAAGTATTTTTTTTGGTAAAATGCAACCAATACACAATCTCTATTTGCACCCTCGACCACATTTTGACCGTCCGATCAATAGCAAAAAAGGGCACGTGTATGGTCAAGATGTGGTCGAGGGTGCAAATAGTGATTGTGTATGTAGTTCAGGTTGCATTTTATCAAAAAAAATACTATAGGTTGCAAATTCCAAAATCACGTATAGTTCAGGTTGCTCACAATTATTTTCCCTATATTTAAAAACATATAAAAGAACAATGTTATATATATATATATATATATATATATATATATATATATATATATATATATGTATATGCATATATTTAAAACATATAAAAGAACAATGTAAAGGAAAAAATATTAAATGTAATAAATAATATTAAAAATATACTTAAGTTGTAATACTTACTAATAAATATGAAAAAAGTAATAATAAAATATTATAGTTAATACATAAAGATAAAACTTTTAAAACTCGCACTTATCATGTAAACGAGTTGAGTTGTTAAATACTTGTTAATTTTTTGTTCTTATTAATTCTAGGGGTAAGTTGTAAGTGATAGACAATAGTTACTTGTACTTTTATCCATCATTAACTTCAAATTAATTAAAATATCTAGAGAATCATGATATGCCTATATAGGTTGAAAATTAATTAAATGTTACCAAGAAGTTATATCGATATATTACAATTACTCATCTATATATTAATTTGTATTATTACAATAAAACAATTTCTTATTAAAAAATGTACGGAATATTTTATATATATATATATATAGGAGTACAATATTAATAAGAAAATTGTACTTATATATAATATAATATAAAGATGTACAACTATAATTGAAGATAATATGACATATGACCCAATAGTTAAATACTTAATTTTATGCTTTTTTTAACAAATATAAATGTTGTATATGAAAAAAAAAAGTAAGAAAATATTGAATCTGATAAATAATTATAAAAGTATAATTAAATTGTAACACTTACTAATAAATATGAAAAAAAGTAATATATAAAATTGTTACAATTATTATTAATAAATATAAAACTTTTAAATTAGCAAAGTGTTTTATAATCATAAAAAACATAATATTCATGATAGAAGTCCAAGAATAGTTAGACTACCACCAGAATTAACATAGGTTAACATACTCCAAAAATCTTCAAATGCATTTATATATATGAGTTGTAATTAATAATAATAATAATAATAATAATAATAATATAATAATATAATATTCCCCTATCCTCTCTCAATGAATGTATGTTCTTTTGACCTACCTCCTAATTAATGATGAGTAAGGACATGGTCATTTTTAATTAGGTCATCCAACCTATCTATAAAAAATTAAGTTTATTTTAATTACGATTATTTATGCATAAAAAAATTACATTTTATTCCATGCTTAATAGATGTGAATTATTTTAATTTTTTTATTGACTTTGCATTACAAGAATTTTTAATATTTGTACAAAAAAAAAAA